TTAGTTTTTGTCACCAAGGTGTTTTTAGGTTATTAAACTCAATGAACATTGTGATAGAGTCACTAGAGAAAATATTTTATCGTTTATTTTTCATATTGTTAATCTATTTCATTAGCTTACTGCACACTTCTCATTTCTTCTGTCTTTTTGAAATGCCACCTACACTGATAAAATTACATTAAGAGTTCTCAATATTTCCAGGAAGAAGCAGAGAAATCACATAAAGGGATGACTATTAAGAAGTAGAGAAAAACAAAGTGTCATTTGAGACGATCAGAATTTAACTTGTTTTAAAAACAATCGCAGACAAGATACTTAGTGGGAGGGAAATATATATTTTAAAAAACCTAGAAATATCATGAATATGCTACCAAATGGGAAGATAAAATGCAGTTTCACTGAATTTTAACATGACGGGAACAAAAAGAAACAACTGAAGACAGTCTGGAGGAAGTGTCCTATCACAAACCAAGGAAGCCAGAATCCCTCTTAATGCATTCAAGTGCCAACTTTCCCTTTGAAACATACTATGAATAAAAAAAAAGTCTTTGAAACATACTATGAATAAAAAAAAAGTGTATAAATAAAATTACCAATATGCAGGAAAGAACAGTAAAATAGCGAAGTAAGATAAACTAGAACTACTGATTAGCAAATACAGCATTACCTGAAAACCAGTACATGATTACACATTTTCTGTTTCACTGTCATATTCTGAAGCCTGATTATATACCATAGCAAACACTTAAAGCTGAAAATTCTAAAAATATTTTGTAACCTCATTTATAAACCTTTGCCACAGAATTATTAACTTTTGAAACAGAATCTTCTCCCAGAGGATGAGAACAGGTCAGCAATCCACAAAATCTAGGACGCAGAAGCACAATGGGTATGAACTTGTCCTAGTTAAGTAACAGAACTGATGAAGTTTGTATATTACCCTTACACCAAGAAGACTTACACAATTTAAACATTAATCCAATGGAAGAGACATTTCTGGTTGTACAAACAGACCTGAACAACTTACAAAGGATACTAACAGTGAGCTGTGCTATTGGCAACCATAGAATTCAGGTCACTTGAAAAGTCATAATCCTTGGGATCCAAGCAACACCAAGAAAGGGAGCCTCTTGGCTCTGATACGCTAGGAGTATCAGATACATAGATATTGCCTATGCGCTTCAAGAACTGAAAGCATGCTGGCATAAACTTCTCCATTCTCTCTACCTACCTTTTGGCTCTCTACGTGACCTGAAGAATAAGGAAGATGTAACATTTGTTTATAAGAAAGAGAAGTTTTTCCACCAAGTAAAAGGAAATGGGTAATAATGCAAAGTCTCTGCAGGAAGGGTTCCAAAGGGAAATGGCTGAAATAGAAGCAAGAGATCCTCTGTAATTTTGGCCTCTAGAGATAAATTGGAGTAAGACTGATAATCTAAGCAATTGAGACAACTGCCTCTTTACAAAGCAAGGTAAACCAAAAAACAGCTTTATGACTTTCAGGAACAGCTAACTTGTGGACAAGTTAGGCGAGCTTTAATTATCAGGATATAAGGTCATAGTACAAATTGCAAAGAGACAGGAGACAGTGATCCAGCTAAAGAAAAAAGTGATCATCCCAAAACCCAGAAATTAGATGGCGGCTGAAGAGATGCAATTAGAGTTCCCGTTGACTAAACTATACGAGTATGAAGTCTTCTCTATATACCATAAACAAGAAGGCAATATCTGACCCCACATGTGTTTAGGTGGAAGAACAACTGGAGGAAATTAAGATAGATATGCAAAATGATCTAGATTTTAAAAAAAGAAAGGAGATCTGTCAAACTGATACAGTCTTTCTGGGAGATGGAAAAATGAGAGAGAGCATTGCTCTCTCTTGCTGCGAAGAGTAAAACCACCTGAGTACTACACAGGCTTCTCTAAAGACCCCATTAATTTATTTCTGCTTATTTTATTTTATATGAGAGTAAACAGAGATGACATTCAGTTACTTCTGGTCTAGTGGCTTGTAATGCGTTTTCAGCATAGAAAAGAAGAATCACATCCTAAACTCAGTGACATTTTACAACAGAGATAAGTTTTAGATGCTATTCAATAATTTTGTCACTTTCAAAAAATGTTAGGATAGTTTTGCCTGATGTTCCTTTAGAGGGAAAATTACAGTTTCAGTGGATGTATTGACTTATACCAGCACCTGAAGGTCACTGACAGGCCTTAATGGTCCCTTGTCTGGGACCTCCATGCACAGCTTTAGTCCTGTGTCTTCAGTCTCTGCCATGGACCTGCCCAGCAATCACTAGACTTGACCCTGACCTGCGGATTGACTTCCTAGCTTGGCCTTGGACGTGCCTCATCACTGTGGACTTACTTTCCTGAGGGTCTGTACCCTTGGCTGAGCCTGGCCTCGACCTCTGGGCCTGCCCTTCTCTCTCCTGGCTGGGCTCTGCCTGGCCATCACATGTTCTCCCCCTCTGCTGCTGGTGGCTCCCATCCCTCACTGCTCCCGGACAGCCAACTAGTTATTTCCTCCAGTTTTTCCTCTGCTTTCACTGCACAGACAAGGGAGAAACTCTGCACGGAGCTGAAAAAGGAAGGATGGAGCTCTAATAATTTCAAAGACTCAGGACTCAACATGGTCTATAAAAATCACCTGAACTCAAGGAAGTTTTAGCTGGATCTTTCATTACCTGAAGGCTTTAATGAATCACACTAAATTGAGTTTGCAGTCTGACACAGAAGGTTGTTGCTTACCTTTCAAGAGGAATAGAAAGACTTTGAACTCAAGTGCAGCACTCTAGCAAACCCTTGAAAACTGCAGTTTTAACATTTCTTGAGTGACCCTGACAGACATGAATTCCATCCCTCTGTCCCAAAGGAAGACCAAGAATGTTTAATCTTATCTTAGCAAACCCTCCACGATGAAGGTTCAACAACCTACCCAGTCTATTCTACTGTTTTCCACTTTTAATCTTTCTCATAAAACATGTTTCTAGATTACTGAACTTTTTTATAGAGATGTCTGATCTACTTCCTTCTTGAAGACAATACCAGACCTGATGTTCCAACTTACATCTGATGAGCACTAAGTGTTGAAGTTTACTCTGTGTGTCTTAAGTGTCAATATTGCATTACATCGGAGGTGGTGAAATGAGAGCTGTTTGTTTCCTTTCTACTTTTTACAGTAGGTCAAGCAGTTTGTCCTTCTTGACCCTTACCCAGTTTGTGGTTCATTGTAGTGCTTCCCATATCTTTCTCTGGAGATCTGCTGCCTAGATAGCCATTTTGCACTTTTTCTTTTACATATTATTTATATTAAAACCTTTCTCTACTTGTCAAGATCATTCTGAAACCTAATCCTATCCTCTGCAAAGTGCTTGCAGCTTTTCCCAAGTAGGTATCAACTGCAGATTTAATAAACATTTTCTCTATCCCCCTATCTAGAGAAAACCTTATCCCTTTCTAGAGAAAACCACTTGACAGAATCCCATCCTTCTTGTTTGACAATGAACCACTGATAACTACTCTTTGAAATTATAATTCCAAGCTAGAGAAGGATAAAGCATATCATACCTTTTGGTTACTTTTTGCTTCAGCATTTGTTTTAAAAACAAATATTCAACTGATCTGATGTTAATTAATGTTGGTGGCAGAAAAATTGGTTAGATACTGCTCTTACAGTATCTTCCTCAAAATCAAGTTTCCCTACTTTTCTTTAGGAACACCTTTAACATTTTTATAAGTCATAAAATATCACCCTTATCACTTACCCCATCTCCTTGAGACCTGTTATCTTGTCATAGAGGGAAATTAGATTGCTTTACATGATTTATTTTTGTCAAATCCATTTTGGCCATTGTTTAGCATCTTTTTATCTTCTGAGTGATTCCAAACAGACTATCTGATCAAGTGTCTTTCCAGGAATTAAATTTAGCCTGACTGGTCTATAATTCCCTGGGTCTTCATGTGTTTTTTGGAAAGACAAACACAAAGATCTCTTCCCTCCCCCTACAATTCACTTACTTTTTATCCTTTAATTCTCAAAACTCATTAGGGAAGACTCTAAGATTTCTTAAGTACTTCATAGTGAATTAATTGTGCCAGACAATTTGAAAATATTTGACTCATCTAAGCAGACTCTAACGTGTTCTTACCCCCCTTCACTAATTTTAATTATGCTAGCCTTCAGAACAGTCAGCCTTTTTTTTTAATGAATGCTGAGGAAGGGAAAAAAAGAACCAACCATAACACTGGCATGCCTCTATTAGTTTTGCCTCTGTCAATTAAAGGCCCAACTCTTTCCCTTGTCTTGCTCTGATTAATTACTTATAGGATGTTTTCTTTTAACTATTCTCTTGTTAAAACCATGCTTAAGGCACTTGGCCCATACTTTATTACAATTTCTATGACCAAAATGTTCCTCAGGGTGAAACACAGAAGATTTGGAGGGTGCATAGTATGTCATCTTATCAGTTCTGGGGGCTTCAGTCATTTCTGTCTCAGTAAGCTCCTCCAGTATTTTCAGCCACAGACTTACCAGATTTTGTCCCTTAATGTTCAGACTGATCAGACTGATGCTTATAATAAATCAGAGCACAAAAGGAACACAATGAAATTAGATTTGTTCTCTCTTTTAAGTGAACCAATGTCAGGATACAAGCCTCCTTCAAAATCATACACTTTGGCAAGTCAAACAGTATAAAGGAACCTTTGCTACAAAAAAAATGTGGTTTTTTTGCACTTGGGTGCAATGATCTTGGTGGTGTAAAAAACAGTCAAGGGAAAGCATGGGTAGTTTTTATTATAGACAGTGAAATAAGCCGTGGAAGGGAATTAAGTTTATTCAGTACAGCAAATGTGACCTAGTAAGACAAAGCCAAACAAGACTGAAACAGTGGGCCTGTTTCTTTTTACTTAATTCCTATTAATGGAGGAACTAGCTCCTTGGAAGTCTGATATTAGTAGCTCTCTTTCTGTACTGGAAATTATGCAAATCTTACCTCAGAGAACCTTTGTACATCCTGGGTTAAAGTTCCTACTCTCTTCCACTGATAACGTTTGAGTAACTTCAAAATTGCTGGATTCACTGCATTATCAGATGGCACTGTCCGGAAGAAATAAGGATATTTTTTCTTATCAGCCAACTCTGGGGTTGTTGCTGCAAATGAAAGCTGAAAAAAATCAAACAACAAAAAAATGAAAGTCACCATAAGTCATCTAGCATCCAGAAGAAAAACTTTGCTCTTCTCAGTGCAACAAGACACAATCCACACATTGCAGTCATGTAGAGAATTTTCATCATCATACAGCTTGGAAGTCCTACCAGCACCATTTACTCATTTACTTTTAAAGGGATTTTTGAAATACATTAGTTCTATAAACCACCTGCTACAAAATTAAGTGAGGGAATCTTCAAAGTCGATGGTGTAAAATCCTCTGTTTCAGATCATGCATCTTATACATTGCACAGAGCAAGAAGCTCTAAGGGAGTAAATCTCTATGATGAATTCCCCGTCAATTTCCTTCTACATTTTCTTCATAAAAGTTGGTAATTGTTCCAAGGGGATATTCTCAAACTCTTATATATCTTTGAATTAGAGAATGAACCTCTAGTAGCACCTCTTCCTATCTTCAGGTAACAGAAAAGGTACCAGAAACAGAGGGTATAATTATGGCAGCCAAGGCTGCAGCTCAGAAGTTTACCTGGCTCCCAGTTTCCTCCACTGAAGCAGCCCCCTGTGATCTGTGTTATCAAAGGGGACTCGGTGGCTAATTCTACGCATCTGAAAACACCAGAATTTGTACATGGTTTGAGAATGCTCATAATAAGAGAAAAGAGGAAACCTGTTAACACCAAAAAAAATCAGGAAACTTCACTGAATTCTTCTGCCCAAGTTAAAGGCAGCATATTTTTGTGTATTCCATTCTATTATATTCTATTCTATATTTTTGTGAATGATTTTCAGGCAGTGTTATGAAGGGAATGCCTGCATATTCACTTTCTGAAAATGCTCCTATTCCAAAGATACTTGTGGTTATTTCCTCCAGTGTTTTTTAGGTTGCTAGGAATGTGTTTCTCAAGCTTTTTTTTCAGCCGTGCATAGCAGTTGAGTGTTTTTTAAAGTACCGATTTAATGTAAATTGGTGTGACTGTCAAAAAATAGGCTCCCTAATACAGTTGTGTTAAGTCTTTCAAAATCAATAGAGAGTCAGAAAGTATAGGTGAACTCAAGCCTATATAAGTACTTCCAACTACACTATTAAGTTTACACCTTCTTCAATCAAGCATTCAGTACATTTGGGCTAGAAAATCTCTTTTGAAATTCAGCATAGACAATTTTAATCTGAAATAACAGCTCTAACTTTTTCTTCATGTTCATAAAATCTAGATTTAGCCCGGCAGAGAACGAACTCATTCGCTGTCTGATTTTAGACTCACAAATAACATATTGCATTGTTATAACCTACTAAACCTGAATACAGTTTATTTGCTTAATTAAACCACCTGAAATCCAAACAACTTAAAGTGTGCGTAACTGGACAGTTTACGCTCTACCATTCAAGAAGAGAAGATTATTTTTCTTCACCATTCATTAGCTAGAGGAGATTTTTTAAGACCTACTGCCATGTAATTCTAGGGTAAAGTATTTTTAATATACCAACTGCTCTTTTCTTAGATCTTATGAAAAAAATACACTATGAGGTACTGTGCTATTGTGGCCTTGATTTTCTAAAACCGTATTGGTTGGCTCATTTAGAACTTCATAACTTTTAGTAATCAGCAGTGAGTTTGCGAAGAGCTGATTTCAAGGGAAAAAGAATGAAGGTCTGCCAGGTAGACCTAGCCAGCTTATCTGTCTAGGCTTGTAATGCTGAACATCATGCATCCACTGTATAACGAAAGTAGAAATAAGGACTTCTCTCTCTGACTGAAAAAGAGAGAAAATTTCACTTTAGAAATCCAGGATGAAGAAGAATGCCTCTCAGCAGCCTGGCTGCTTGCAGCCTGGTGACTGCAAAGGACTTGCTTTTCAAGTTGTTATGGTTTTGGATCGAATGTAATTTGATTGATCCTTAAGAAAAAGAGGCCAAGAGCAACGCTGAAGTAACAGTACTGACAAGCAACATTGGCAAGGTTAACCTAACTCAGGTTCACAGATTGAACAGTAAATTTTTCTGATCAAAGGTACAAAAAGCCTTAGTAATGAGGAGCATCTCTATAGCTATGAGCTGGCATCAGGGCGAAGATCTGTGATATAAGCAAGGCAATTCAAATCCATCCTTTGACATTTTAGTGACTTAAAGTGCCTAAATTAGTATCCTAATTGCCCATATTTCCTTGGGAAACAATGAAGCAAAACTTTACCTCTCTTCATTGATTAAAGAAAGATGAAGGAGACTCATAACTTAGATTTGTCAGCCATGTAAAGTGAGATGAGATGAATCCAGGTTTATGTGTAACACTAATGACACCTGAATTACAAAAGAACATTCTTCTTCATTTTCTTTTTGAAGAAAGATTTTATTAAAATATAAAATGGGGAAATTTCATGCTCAAACAATTCTTGGAATGTAGGATATGTTCAGAGGCCTTTCATTCAAGCATCAGATACCATGGTTGGTCTCATTCTGCATCACTTTGCCATTTTAATAAAACACTCATGAGAGATGGACGAGTAACCTGAAATAGTTATGTCGATCCTTTTTTTTTTTTCTTTCTCCTCCTTCTGTCTCACAAAAGTTAAATCATTGACAATATTTAACTTTTCACAAAATCATCCCTATGAGAGTCTGGGGACATGCAGTGAATTTAACGCAACAATCACCAGCACTCAATATTCTGCTTTGAGAGGACAAGGAGGGAAAAGGAAGAGGAAAAAACTCATTACGTTTTAAAAAGTTTTAATGAAAAGATCATGTTAATAAATAAATTGACACAATGTAGACTTACTGGAAAAGTATGTGATATAGCATGACTATATAGAAATATCAGTAAAATATTCATAACAAAAACTTTAACTTATGTGACAAAACAAATAAGATCACAACACAGTCCATGCACATATGCATTGAGATTGTACAGCTCGTGTTAATTCAATATAAATCCTCTGTATTTAAGTGTTAAAGCTGATTTGAAACTTGAAGCTATCAAAAGGCAAACTTTTCATAGTTTCTTTCACTTCATCTACAGGACTGAAAGCCATATAGATCTGATTCTGCTTTTTGTTACGGTAATTTCTTTTTATAACTTTTAGTTATTTAGTCAAAAATCTGGATGAATGGCAATCCTACTGCTCATATAACTTTTTGTAAACCACAAAGGTACTATTTTTCACATTACTGTATTTTCAGAGCATACATATTCATGCATTGCTAAAAAAATTTGTTACAGATGCTACATAGCTGCCTCTCTGAGTAGAGGAAGAGTGAGAGATAAAAAAGTTATAAGTGGGATTATAACTCAGCAATAAATGCCTGTGGGGTGTATGATGTCATTCTTTCACAGAAAGTTATTTTACATAACTGCTAAAGGTGATGGCCAAAAGCCAAACTTCAAGAAGGGATGAAAGGAAGGAAAAAAGTTTTTTTCAAATTGCTATAAAATGGAGGACACAGTGGACATATACCAGGTGATATATCATAATTGTGTGTGTGCATACGCAAACAGACTCTGTGCATATGTGTATGTAGATCTAGAGAGAAAAGATCATTCATATATATATATTATATATATATCAGTTTGAATAGTGTCAGAAAAACTGAAGCTACTTCTCAGGTCATCCTTGAGAAATCTTTCTTTAGAATATCTGCTTACAATTCAATACAATTTGTGAGCAACTGCTTCTGAACTTAAAATGAGTATATGTAGGGAAACATATATAAGCTATAAGTCAGATGGAGATTTCAGAGTTGAAACTGAGTTTAAGACTTTTAAATGGAAAATAACATAACATTTACCATTCAAGTAAGAACATTAACTATAGTACAAATAGAGAACCAAATAGACCAAGGTATTGAAAAACAAATGTTTATTTCTTCATAAAAGCTGTAATTTAGTAAAAGTTCTGCTGCCTTAATATCACAATTAAGTCTACTCAAATTCTAAAATGAAAGACACTATTTAACAGCTAAAGTGCACTATTTCTGACTTTTTAAATTATTCCTATTGCTTGCGTGATCACTATATAAATGGATTATAGTTAGCAGAGTTTCATCAGAATGCATTTTGTCTGCACTTGTTAAAGAAAAACAATAATGTTAATATCCTAGAAATCATTCAAGTTGGGAGTCAGTACGAAAGGAATCAGTGTAAAAGGACTTTCAAGTACGTCACCTGAAGTTGATTTACTTCTACAATGTTTAGCTTACTGTGGCGTTCTCCCTGTCTAATACCCCACAGACCACATGGGAGCAAAAGCACAGCTAACTAGAGAGGTCCATAAAGGGTGACTGCAAGCCAGTATTTCAGACGAAGTCCCAACCCCACTGAAGTCAGTGCCAAAACGTCCACCGACTTCCTGAGCCCAGATTTCAAGCCTGTGATCTGAGCACCTGGAAATCAGATTTAGTTAATGAGATTTAACTACAGCGATGTAGTTGTAACTCTGTAGGTCATCCTGACATTTTGCAGTATGCCTACACTCAGTTCTGTAGTAGTGCAGATTCTACTTTTTTAAAAATAAAAATATACGACTGGCTCAAGAGTGAGCCGAGCGGTTGTGCTTCGTTGCTAGCAATGGAGAAGCAGAGCAGGAACACAGCTAATGGCTTTATCTTACCCTGTGAATAGAAAGGAAGCAACAAATAACAGTTCTGGAATGGGTCCAAAGCAAAAGAATTCAGGAAATGGTGTCAAATAGAAAAACAGCGAAACATTAAAGATGATGCAGAAAGGACCCAATAGCACTATGTGTGTAAAAGAGTGTCTTACAGTAAAGAGTTTTGAAGCCATAAAATGTAGGACGCTTTTGTACTTCAAAAAAAAAAGGCTTGGAAATTATCCAAAATTGAAAAAGCCAGTGAGAGAAATTTTACTTTCAGATTAAAAAAAACCCAACCAAACATTATTCCACAGAAGTCAAGGAAATTTCTTTGCCTTCATATTGAGAGCGGAAGTAGAATTTGATAATGGAAAGGAGAGGAGACAATGTTATACAATTATTATGAGAAA